GTCTAGATATACTTAATTTGCGTAGCTGTATTTTGGGGTAATGAATTGAAGATTAATGGCACTGCTAAAAGGTTTTATTTTCATATTTATATTCTGCGTCTTATAATTATAGCCTATTACATCGTTTTCACTAAATAAAAAGGAAAAAGGTATACCAGCATCAACATTTTAAATATAGATTATGGTATTCTGTGTTATTGCGCTGTATGTAAGTTTGGCTGCATGCCACATCAGACATGGAGGAAGTATTTTCCTCCGATATATTCAACAACCCAGAAGGCCAGCGTTTGCATTCACATTGCCTTGAAGACATCAAATGCCACCTAGCGTTTCAAATAAAGAAGGAAATATATTGAAAGCAATGGCGTACAATCTGAAATATTACTTACTTTGTACTTACTCACTTACTTCACGGAGCCGAGTCCTTCCCGAAAAGCTAACAGTCGATCAGTCACTCAAGAAATTCCCAACTTTTTTTAAGGAACATGAAGGTTCATTGCCGTGCTCACAAGAGCCCGCCACTTGTCCCTACCCTGAGCCAGATGAATCCAGATCATATCACCCCGTCTATTTCTCTAAGGTCGATATTAATATTATCCTCCCACTTACGTCTAGGTCTTCCTAGTGAACTCTTTCCTTCTGGTTTCCTCACCAAAACTCTGTATGTATTCTTCTTTCCCACGCGGGCTACTTCTCCTGCCCGTCTTATCTTTCTTGACTTGTTGAGTCTAACAGTCGGAAGAACAATAATTTTATAGTAACTGAGGGTGAATCACGTCACAATTGGAATGACGATTCACCGAGTGTCTGCGTCCTTTCTTGCTGAACTTAAGCGGTGTTTGATTTTTAATGATTTGATTCTGATTTGTGCAGTTTCAATATTTTAAGTTATTTGGATCAAGGATTATTACTATAAACCGCAAATTTGATTGAATAACAAATACATACGCAGTTTTTATAGGAAAATCTCGTGAGTGCCAATAATATAAAAGGTTACTTCATTAACTTCTAACTGTTTGCATAGGTTACATTGATGAATTACATGACATTCGCTTTCACAAATTCTTCCATTATGTGATAAATCTATACGGTGGAGTAATTTTTGATTCATACATATTTCATTGAAATGACGGCTGGGACAACTTCTACATGACAAATTCACTCGTAATGATACTTGTGCCGTGTCACATCTAGCAGTGACAAAGCAGTTTTCTCCTTTCCCACTAAGACAGTGTGTCTGGCAACAGCACAGAGCCAAGTAATTCATTACATATACTGAAATTAACATTTTTGCATTTTCGAGTTTCCTTAAACTACTTTGCTCACTCTCTGACATGATTAATGAGTATGTATTCATTCACCCATCGTCATTAATGATAATTACATCGATGCAACTACCATTAATAATATCACAAATACCTTTTTTATGTTCTGTTCTGTATTTATTTTAATGCTCGTAATTTAATTAACCCGTTGAAGCCCAGTGGTAACTATGCCCCACCTCTTTTTATGTATTTCGTATAATTCTCACTCTAAACAGCCATTATTTCCTTAAACGGCATTAACCAGCTGATGTTTGTAATGGTGGAGAGTGGTGTTTTCTTTGCGGTGCGGTCTGAATTCCTAAATACTATTTAGACGAGCTTCGGCTACAGAGGGCTTAAAATACGTAGTCGCAAAGCAGTGCTCATACTGTTGTAGTATTACACGTGCTACGCTCGATGGCAATACGGAAAAATTCAGAATTTATGGTAACACTAAAGTGCAGTGTCGAGCTTTAATGGTTGGAAACTTCCGGCCACATGTTTGCTTATAGGAACCACAAGACGTGACATGATTACAAGCTAAGCGTCCGCCGAACACTTTATTCATAATTTTGAATTTAATTTTTATATTTACTTTTAGTATAACCTATGTATTGTATGTGATGCTTATGGTTAAAAAACAATATTTTGAACATTTTGTTGTTGTAGAGAAGCTAATAGTAGCCTCATATAACTAAGAAATTTCTATCTTTTATGAAACCTAAATGTTTATTAAGTTATTCGCAGGGGCCCACCATCGGTGTCTATCATATTTTGAGAAATTCACTTATTTGAACGAGCTTAGTGTAAAATTTATTTTGGTGCAGAACTCATTAAATTCCATCCACAGGGAAAGCGTACCCCACAAACTTGAATTATTTCTCGAGAGCAGATGCTACACCGGAATACGCTATCTACTTCCGTTTATGCGTGAGAGTTGCTATGAAACGCCTTAAAGTAGCCTGACACATTAATACGCGGTGCAGTAATGAGCTCTGGCAGCCATTTATGTGGACCCACACTGAGCTTAGGTTCGCAGTCACTAATGATAGTCGACCAGGAAATGGCATCGTTCCAACTTTGCTGCACTTAAATAATATTAGATGGACTATTTACTTCCGTATAGAGATTTCTCACTTGCCTCCAACATGAGACGGAAATTTCAAATTGTTTTGTGACCCCTGACATGACAATGTAAACGGTGCATTTCCTTTGTCTTGAAGCAACAAGATGTGGCTGAAATATTTTTCTTATCTTTGATTCCAGTTTGAATACTGGAGCAGAAAATTATATTCAGTTTTTGCTGGAATACTTTTTGCGGTGTGATGGGCTGGGCCTGGTGGAATTATTTCATTTTGTTTGGAGCAGAGAGTTGTTTGTGTTTGCCACTGTTGTTTCATTACGCCTGGATCATGACAGCTTGCAACGCAGCGGGACGAGAAAGTAATCGCAATTGCGAACTGTTACTAATATTAAACGCTTCAAGTACTTCCCTTCTGAAGCAGAAATTTTTAAAAGTGAGGGTCCGAATTGTGTGCGATATACGGACCACGTCTGCACAGATTGCAACAGTGGCGTGTGCTGGAATACTTGTCTAAAGCGAACTCGCATTTATTTTTAATGGGTTAACCCAGTTATAGTGATTGTAATAATCACACTTCGTCAGACTCTTTTATTTTGTTTGTCTACCTGGACTGACGTTCTACTGTACCTGGGATTGCTGGCTGCCAACGTGTTTATTTCCATCGGTCAAAGGAGCCCGGAGAAGATAAATGTCTGTCTTACACCAGTTGCAGTTATTTAATACGGTTAGCATTTCCCCCGCCCTTAAGCACCAGGTTTTGAAGACGTGTGGCGAAATTGATATTGATTTATGAATTTTTAACCGCGGGCACCAGGCAGTTATAGCGGCGGGATGTATGTTCCGGTCGCTTTGTCTGCAGGACAAGTGTCACCAGTACCGTCTGACACAGCAGACCGGGTTGATTCCAGGAACGACCTGGTTACTGTATCGAAGAGAAAAGTCCCTGCATCTGCAGTCCTTATAATCCATTATTCAGCGAGCCACTTTACTGACTATTAATTATAGCCGTCAGTCGATGTTTTCAGGACGGATAGTTATAGCCCTTCACCATAGAAACGAATGGGGTGGGTACAGATCTTCGCAGTACAGCATCCATTTGTGCTCTCTAACAATGTGATTGTGAGCCAAGGCCTGATAAAATGGCGCAAGCACACTGAAAAAAAAAACACGAATCTCTCGTATTGGACTAAATCGCCATGCGCCATTTAAAATTCTGCGTTTTATCTCACTTCTACACTGCCGAATCTGCGAGGCCATTGATGGATCCTGCCGAAGCAATTACACCTCTAGAAGTCCTCATTTCGAAAATCCGCTCGCAGCTTGTAGTGTGACGGCACGCGCAGTTAGTGCTGGTTTAAACACGGCACATAAAGATGCGCTTATGAACGGTGTTGCCGTGTCAATTCAAGACTTCTGAGTCCACTTTTGAATATTCTGTATTTAGGAGGTCCTGGGTTAACGTATCTTCCATCGAAGCGTATATCCTCACCTACGTAGTCCTACACCAGCTTAGGAATACTGCGATCACATTTAAGTGTGCCAAGATGCGTTTAAGCAGAAATCTTTCTGCCATGTGTCAGAGTGGGGTGGGGGTAGGAATTCGGGCTCAGTGAAAGGCTGTTAATACGGATTCTGCTGCATTGAACTACCTAACCCCCAGTAATATGAAATACAATAACCAATGAATGTATAAGTTCAGAGACTATACACTACTTAGCACATTTCCGTTCTTATTGGCAGAGACACGCTTTACGTTTCTTCCTTCGATGCTGGGAGTAGTACTGCATTAGTGCAGGCCCGTGCACTGGGCACTAGTAAGCCAGACTTCTCTCCCTTTAGAGTTAGAAACGCAACCGAAATAACGAGGTGCAATTTTTATGGGTCTCCTTATCAATCCAAGTCAGGCTACACGGCTCAGCGCACCCCGTGACGTCATAATCCCTTGGAACATTGAATCATCACAACTTACCACCTCTGAATAGAACCCACAACTTTCTGTCCGTTTCTGCACAATTCCTTTGGAACTGTTAAACTCGGATGTATTGGCTTGCGTTGGAATAATTATGTAATTTACAAAATTTTCGTATCCGTGCTTGGAATCGTGATTCAGTAACATCCGGTCTTATTGCCAGAATAGTGTGTATTAACGTGCAGTTGCAGTGTTTACACTAATTACGTATTTAAGGGATCGATGCGAAATGAATTGAGTCCTGTCCTTCAGTATATTCGTTTATATTTTTTGTTGGTCTGTCTTTATCAGTTTTTCGTGTATTGATATAATTCGGTGTTCATATTTAAATACATTTCTGTGGTGTATGATATAACTTTTGTTATCACAGTAATAACCATACTGTGATAACTATCACAGTGTAATATATAGCCTATTAATAGTACAATGTTTATGACTGTGTATGTTTTACATAAATAGTTATAATCGTTGTTACGGTAACGCTTTTAAAGGACTTTCGTACTCATAGATCTGTTTATGATTATGTGTATGATCTGTTATAACTGTTGCTATAGTAACGCTATTAACTGATTTTTTCCCTTATGATTTGCATTGCTGACCATAAAACCACTGTCTCCTACGTCTGGCTAACAAGTTTATATTTTTTGTTGGTCTGTCTTTATCAGTTTTTCGTGTATTGATATAATTCGGTGTTCATATTTAAATACATTTCTGTGGTGTATGATATAACTTTTGTTATCACAGTAATAACCATACTGTGATAACTATCACAGTGTAATATATAGCCTATTAATAGTACAATGTTTATGACTGTGTATGTTTTACATAAATAGTTATAATCGTTGTTACGGTAACGCTATTAACTGATTTTTTCCCTTATGATTTGCATTGCTAACCATAAAACCACTGTCTCCTACGTCTGGCTAACAATTGTCTAAACGTACAGTGTTTTATATCAAATCTAAAACTTCTTGACGATGGTGAAGAGTGAATTGAATAAAAATTTTCTTGGATTGGTCCGGAGATAGGGATTAGCTCTATCTAGTGGGCCCAACTGTGTAGGAACCTGAAGACGGAGATAGAGTCCCATCTCCGAAACGTCGTTTTTACGTTTTATATTTACTAGACGATGGATAATATCCAAGAAAATTTTTATTCAATTGACTACAGTGTTTTAGCTTATATCTCTTGACGGTTATAGTTATTACACGTGGAAGTTTAATAATTTTTGTAGAGATAATAATGGGAAAAAAAACTACAAAACATTCTGAATAATTTATAGTTGGGAAGAAGACAGTGATCATTATTGTCTGTCGAGTTCACACGGCGTTAGGTCCTCGAAGGACGAGCCTCTACAAGTTCGCCGCATTGAGAGCCTCATATCTCGTTACGCGTCTGTTTGTTTGGAGCCTCAGAGGGGATCTAACTTTATTACATTCCACTACGTTAGGCGTCTATAGGGTTGACATTTTAATTACTAACCTCTAGGTGTGTAATCAGTGTAACAGCATCTGAATATGTATCTCTTGAACAGTTTCCTGAATGTGCGACTTGTTATATAAAGTGACAATGGATTGAGGAAAGCGTTTGAGAAAAACAGGTGATAGATGACACTGGGAATATATCTCGGCAGACTCTCTCCGTGCGAAATCATAACGAGCACCCAGACAAGGAATGGGCTGTGCGTAAACCAGAACGTAGCTGAGAGACCGATTATGACGGCTGAGCTCCTGTGCCGCGCGCGTACGAGGGCCGTCGTCTGACTGCTGATCCCGGGCATGTCCCTTGCACTCCGATGCAACTTTGCTGCAATTCGAGCGTTCAGAACCGTGACGCAGAGTGGCAGGACGAACGCCGCCACGAGGAATGTCACGATTACGATGCAGATGCGCGACCTCTCCCTCCGGTCATCAGAAGCTGTAGCCATTAGGAATCCTAGCCCCAGGGTGATCCCTAGGGCGGCTCCCCACACTCCCATGATGCAGAGAGCTGTGTTAAAACGGCTGGGACTTTGTGTCTGCGGAGTGAAATCGCGGAGAGATTTTGAAATGACGAAACACCGCTGGGCGCTTATAGCCAGAGTTGAGAAGGCACTTACGAAGATGAGCACAGTTTGGCTTGCCATTAAAGCAAACAACTTCATGACAAATATATTTCTCTTGTTATGATAATTGTATAAGGCATATTTAATAGGTAATACGACGGTAAGTCCAAGCATGTCACTTACAGCAATGTTGATCAGCATCGCGTTGTTTGTTGTTCTTACTTCCCTGTGCCGAAAAAATATGAAAAGCAGTGTGCCGTCCAATAAGAGACCTAGACAGAGTATGGACACTGTTATGACTGGTTCTATGAAACGTATGAAAAGGTATGTTGATTTTAGTCTTGAAATTGTCTGAAGTAACTGTGAATAAACTTCTTCAAGAATCACTGTGCAGTCTGGCGAAAGGCACTCGCATGTCAGATGAGAACTGCATGATATATTTTGTGTCCTCTGAAATATGTGATGTACTGAACGGTTTTGGACTGCCAGAAATTCTTTATAAAAGTTAGAAGAATCAATAATTTCTTCCAATTGCTCATTGAATGTTTCAAGATCAATATTATAACCATATTCACTGCCAACCAAATAGACCAATAATGCTGTGTAATTTTTATCAGTGAAACTTGGAGCTTTGATAATTTGATCACTTCTGAATTCTCTCCAACACATTTTCATCCACTCTGTAATCCAGTACCAAGACTTCAGAGTACTGTCTGGGCTAAATTGTTCCTGAGTGGCTAACTGCATGTGATTTGGATCTTCCTTTGAGGAGTCGCTGATGGAAGAATCGTTTTGTTTTATTCTTGAACATTTGCTCAGTGTTTTCACGAAAGTTTCTTCTTGTGAATCCAGCTTCAGTGTTTTTCTGTGGAGCGTAGGATGGTCTTGCAGTAACCCGGAACCGTCGTTCTGTTGCGTAAGAGCAAACCACGTTACCACCAGACACAACTGTGGAAAGTAGAGATCGGCTTTACAGTAATTATTTATTTTATGTAATAATTTATTTTCCTTCAGAATTTGTGAAAGGAATAAATAATTATAAATCCACGCTGATAGAAAATAAGTATGACTATTGAAACTAGTGATTGCGTAAGAACATGGTATCTGCTTTAACCCTAAATTCTGAATAGCAGTATTAACGACAACATGAAATGTTAATAATTAAAGGTGACGGATATTTTGTTATTAATTGTGTAAACTTGATGATGGAAAGTGAATTCAAGTGTCTCAAGACAGGGACCAGTAGTGGGCTCCTGTGAACACTGTAATGAAACTTCAGATTCCATAATATGCGGATAATTTCTTGACTGATTGATCAATACGGTAGTTATTTACAATAATTCTTCCGCATCAGCTTTGTGTGACAAAGTCGCTTCATTAAGGCTACGTTTTTCAATCTGACCACTCGCCCCCTATCTAATGCCGAGGTTAAGAGTCAGTAGGAGCTATGTCACCTCTCCCCCTCCCCCAAGCGCCTATATGGCGTGTAGCGCCACAGCTTAACTCTATTTTACTTTACATTTTACGTGTTTCAGTTTTTATGTCACAAACTTCAAGTATTCTTAGTTGTCCGTTAAATGCAGTGTTTACAATTTATAATTTTAAAAACTGTATCTTAAGAGGGCCTCAAATAGATCTTATAAACACGGAAACCTGTTGCGTTGACGAAGCAGATTTCTTGCACAAAGTTGATGGAGACGAATTATTGTAAATAATTTGCCGCGTACAACACAACGGAATGCTTTAACGTGAAAGGGCGATTGTAGGCTTGTCAAGAAGGATTTTGTGCAATGGAATTAATGCAGAACTTACCAAAAGATTGCACTGGATGCTGGGATAGTCAGCCATTCTGTTATCCACGTCTCCGTTTAGAGGAAAATTCTGGCACTAAGAGACGCAGTTCACAAACTGCACTACAGAACGTTTGAGTGTATAAATTGTTCACACGCTAAAGATTTGATTATATTCTTGCATTGTTTCGTCGGCTAGGATACGATGTGAAGTAAAAGGAAGGCAGACTGCAGCCTCTACTTTTCACTATCGATATTCTGGAAGTGGTTAACCATGTATCCTTCTGTGAGTTTGAAAGAAATTCCATAAATGTGTATTCAAGTAGGGAATCCACATTTGTACTTGGTAATACAAAGTACTTAGACGAAACGCTAATGGAAAATTTAGACTAAATTTGATTCTGTTGGTCAAATATTACAGTTGTATGACCAGTCTTGACGTGTGTCGGTTCAGTATGAGAAATAGGGTTGGACGGCTGTGGATTTTAATTTATCTGTCTCGAAATAGGGACAGATGACCGACGTTTCTGAACACTGCAGTGAACCTTTTGGTTCAGTAAAAGGTGGGGAATTTCGTGATTAGTTGAGCGGAAGGATTTTTCTCCATCGAATTAGTCGGTTTAGTATATAAAACCTTGTGACTGCCCTGAGGCCTTAAATAAGCCACAGTTCCATAAGACGTTGAGTCTTATTGTTCTTGTTGTGCCTTATGTTTTGTTCTGTCTCATTGTTCTGTTGTTTCTTATTGTTTTTGTTGTCTTATGTTTTGTTGTGTCTTATTGTTTTTGTTGTGTCTTATGTCTTTTTGTCTTACTGTTTTGTTGTGTCTCATTGTTCTGTTGTTTCTTATTGTTTTTGTTGTCTTATGTTTTGTTGTGTCTTATTGTAGGACCACTGCCACCGGGTAAAAACCCATTTGCAGTCAAATAAATAATAAAAATAATAATAATAAGAAAGTCAGCCGACAAAGCGTAGAGAAATAAACCAAGGGGCAACGGAAAGAAACCAAACACTGTACCGTGTGATGGAAAAACTAATGCGTGAAAAGTCTCAGTAAGGATAGCAGAATCCCAGACTTTCAGAATTCGAAGCTGAATTGCTGACTACTTAGTGCGATTTTCTACGCCTCTCCTTATTGATCAGCTGGAGCCATTCCAGAAGGAAGGGACAAGACGGACAGGAAGGAAGGAGGGAGGTGCGCTGTGGAGAAACGTACATGAGATAGCTGGGCGAGTTGATAAAGAAACAGGAAAACGCGGTTTCCTTCATTGAGCGTTTGGAGGTTGCAGTGTTCGCTGGTTAGAGGTTAAACTTCTTTCATGTTCACTCCGATGTGGACCAAACGCGATCTTTGTAAATATAACACATTTAATAATGAAGTTGACTGTCTCATGGGTTGTTGTGCCGTGTAGTCTGGTAGAGTTTACCGACGTTTCAGAGATGCTTGCTGCTTCCTTCATCAGCGGAACTGAATTCGTATTAGACATTGTTGAAATGTTCTCTGTTTCAGATTTAAAATGCCCCGAAGTGATGTTACCGACGTTGTTGATTTAACGATTCACACCTGTTTTCCTGAGTATGAATCTCAGCGCAGAGATATGAATTCTCTATTGAATTATATCGTGGATTTCCTCAGTTAGTCCAGAGGAATGCTTAGGAATAACTTTAAAAAGTATTGTTGCCTCCTTTCTAATTTATCTTCCACTATAATTTTACCACTAGGTAGTTGACAAGGCGTTGTTGAATAAACTATTATGATAAGAACAAACTTGAGGCTTCGAAAGATAATTATTCTTTAATCCAAGATTTCTCTTATGTAACAGTCCATAATTTTTATTAAGATACGATTCTCCTTCATTGTGTATCGCTCGCCTCTTACCAGACAGATCCGTTTCAAAGTACGTCTGAGGCTCCGAAGTTCAATTTGTCACTGATAGGATGTGTCTTTGTGTCGTTCTTCATTTAAACCCTGGTTTTAAATCTAATGCCTTCACGTTTATGGTTTTCTTTTAGAATAAAAGTTGTTTTTTATGTTTTGAATATATACCAATGAGCTATTGAATGTAGTTGTGAAATAAATTTATTTCTAGACACACACAAAAATGTATGGATACATAATATGTTTTTACACCAACATATATGCACTCCGATTATCATGGTGGAGCATTTTGTACTCCTGATTTGTATTAGCTAGGCTCCGGGTTCGTTTTTGCTCGGCGTCAGGACTATTCTAATAGGTATTCCGTGCTTTTCCTTAATTCCTCGACGCAACTGTCGGGATGATACCCTAAATTAGGCCACTGTCACTTCCTTCCACATCTTATCAAATACATCCTGTAATCAGCCTACCATACATCGCTATGTACGGGTTAACTTGAAGAAGCATCGATAAATAAACACTTCGTGCACGCATACACACTTACATATATTGGAATAATAATCAAGCTGGATGCTGTGTCTCGGTCAACATTACATCCTGCTGTTTGTACCGACATCTGAACACGTGTGTACGCAAGAGTTTTCTGAACCTGTAGCTTGTTCTGTACAGTGCTACCGTGTTAACACACGTGTAAGAAAAATACACGTAACAAAACACTATCTCAACATATGAATAATTAATATTGACCAGTCTCAGAATAAAACCACAAAGTCCTTCCAGCAGCAACCAGATAAATAGCGGAACGTGTGTTATCCAGAACGCCCTGCTCAGTTCGACAATTGCGCTAGAGTTGATTATATTCTCTTGTTCTGTGGGCACAAGACCCTTCTCAGTATAAAGTTTGAACCTGTTCATTACCAGAGGGAGTATAAGAGTGTACAATATTATGTATACTATAGGTGCGCAAAGATTGCCAATTTTCGGATGATTATTGAACACGTAGGTGAATGCAGCGACACCAAAAGCCAGCACCCATACACCGAGAACACACAGAACACTTTGCCAAAACACGAACCGAGGCCACCGAGATTCCGCAGTATTAAAAGCTTTGGTCACTTGGAAATTATGCTGGGCTCTTAGAATCAGAAGTGATATTCCGTTGACTGAAATCAGCGCAGTCTGGACGATTAGAAAGAAACCATTAGTTGAAAATTCTTCATGTGGAATAACAGACGAATAGTAGAAGTGTATATATTGCAGTGGTATATATACAACAAGGATCAGAATCCCGTTCACTGCTATGTTCATCACCATTGCGTCACATTCTGTGGTTGTATTCGTGTACTTAGTGCATATGATAAGTATTAGACCGTTCAGTATCAGACCTGTTACAATAAAAATAACCCTGATCATAGGGTCTATGTAATATCCAAATATTAGGTACGTTCTCAGAAGAACATTGTATTGTGACAGAATTGAAAATTGTTCCTCGTACCTTACAATGTCCTGTCGGGAGAAACACGTGCAGAATCTTCTTTGGGCACAAAATACTGTGTTTTTAGTTTCCTGGTCCATATTTTGGATTACTTCCCTGGATGTTGCATAATACGATTGATGGTCTTTCAGAATCTGTATAAATTCTTCGTAATGATGCTGGACAGTCCTCAGATCATGTAAATGAGAATATTTTGATATATTATTAATAAAATCGCGTAAGAAATAGCCGTTTTCTCTCACAGTTGTGCTTATTAAATATGGCGCAATTGCTTTCCTCTTGGTTTTGAATTCGCCAAGGCATTTTTCCACGTCTCTGTCTTTCGAAGTAAAACCAACATGTGTATTTGTGACGTTCCATATAATGAACGCTGATGTGTCATTCAGCATGAGTTGCGTCCACGATATGTTGATATTTTCGTTTTCACTTGTTTCAAGCCCAGCGTCTCTTCTGAAAACTCTGGCAGTATCTGTACTTTTGTTACGTAACCTAATCACACGTCCTTCAGCGGTGAGAGAATTTTGTAGCAATTTGTGCTCGTAAGTTGGTGTGTTATTGTAATTATTATAAGGATCATCGTAATTTTGAGACCCAGAAAGTGATTTATTAGGAAGCAGACGTCGAGAAGTGCCATGTTTCTGACGTTCTGTGAAGTTAGTTTCTGAAATGTTGTAGTCACGGCTGCTGATGGCAGGTACGAATAGAGTTGGTGTCACTTCATTGACACCAACTGCAATGAAGCTCGTCTGTGAAAGAATAATTAAAATATTTAGTAATAATTTTTAATTGCATTCTTTGTGAAATTGCCATCCTGATTGGTATTAATGTTGATGCATTGCAACGAATATGTTTTGGAAACAATCAGTCTACAGATATTATTTGAAACAAAGCAAAAATTATACGTATTTGTAATTTGTTTGATATTGACTACGTAGTGAATATATAAATAAAATTTGTAGATCTTAATAAGGTCTGTATTTTATGGAACACGTAAAGTAGACCTCCAAATTACAAAGCTTTCACCGTGAAAACGTATTCGTTCTTCTGTTACGTCATGTGTTGTTGTTGTCATTATTATTATTTAAAAGAAGACCTAAAGTGGTAAGCTTTATCTCAAGCCTCTTAATGGTCTTTGCGGAAGTTCTGACGAAATATCGTATTTAGAGGTGAACATCTGTATCTCATTCACGAATTTCTGTTTTAAATTAAAATTGAGTTAATACTAAGATCAAGAGGGCTGTGGCTGATAATATTTTTGGTATTTTCTTCGCTTTTTCCGTTAAGAAGACAATTTTATTGTCTACGGTATGTTTTATACTTTTGTTTGTAACTTAAAAGCTTTGTTTTAATGTATATTATTATACCACAAGCGTCAGTAAGTTTTCTTAACAAAAGAAAATTAATAAATCGGAGATTTTTTGTGAATATGGCTGTCTTTTGAGTTGCTTAGCCGTGTATCTGGTGGAAGTTTACCGACGTTTCAGAGGTGCTTATTGCCTCCATCATGTCCTGAAACATCAGTAAACATCTATCGAACTTCACGGTGCAGTATCCCAGGAGACTCTTATGTTCATATTCTGCACCGTGAGAACTTGGAATCTCACAAAAATGCCTGTGCCAAAATGTCGACTGTTAGTCCTTGATGCCTTAAAAAAGTAACGCGTTATAACAACTAAATGACATTAACAGACACTGTATTAATTATGCAGTTAACATACCAGGAAGCAAAAGGCAGCGGCGAGAGTCATCGTCATTACGTCGTAAGCGATGTTGATTTTTCGCAGGAGATTTTCAGCCGTCCATCGTCAGACGAAAATGACACTGTCTCTGGTAGAGTAGAATCTAACACATTTACTGGTGTACTCTGAAATGTAGATCAGATCACATATGCACGCTGACGTCATGTTTTGGTGGTGGGATCTCGAGTTATCACGGCCAGTGACCTTCCTCTGGGCCATACGCGTTCCAAGAACAAGACGCAGTGAAACGTCGGAGTCGGTAATGGAAACATATGACTGGTGGGGGAAAAAACTATTACGACATTGAATCGCTGTAATTGAATAAAAATATGTAACATTCGAACAGCAGTTATATTTGTTTATTTTGACAATATTTAGAAACAGTAAAAACAAACTCTGAGATACGGGGAAATTAAATAATATTCCCGTCTGGAGCAACATATATTTCCCAATTAGATCTTTGTATGTGTTGATTGTCGCGATGTCCATGTATTGTGCCTATATGTCAGTTATTGCTGTTTCACATATGTTGTATCGCATGAAGACAAATTATTTCTCCTTACAACTCGTTTACTGTAAAGGTCCCGACAGTGGTGAGGATCTCCAAGACTACAACGGCGTCACAGCCGATAAAAACGCAGTCCACTCTTTTACGCCAAACAATACAAATCTGTTCACGAGGACAAGCTGTGACGTTGTGTTGAAACTTTATGTGAAACGAGTGTCGTGCAAGATCGATATGAATTTAAATTAAATTCCGAGAGAATTGTGGACTGTCAACACCAAATTTAATCGAAATCTGTTTGGTAGATCCGGAAATGAATCATGCTGTCTTGCTGTGTACCTCCATAATCACTGCATGTTCACTTGTTGAGCTTCTAGGAAAGAACATACAGAAATCACTAGCAGATTTATTGCACTTAAGACATGTGTGGATTTCAGCGCACGTTTAGTGTTATCTTGCCTTATTGACGGCTTTCTGTTTATGGTTCAGAGACTGATAAAATTTCCGTAAGCGACTCACGATCTTCGACCTTCGTATAAGATGCTGGGTGTAGTCATACATAAATTTTATTAAGAGCGGAAGTGACTGTCTTGAACGCGACAGAGTTCTTTATGTAGAAATAACACGTAGTACGTTTTAATTAATTCACGAAATTAGTTCTGTTTGACAACGGAAGAAGAGTTAATAAGAGGCAAGAACTGAAATTATAACGTGAAATGAAGAAACACAGATAATATAGTGCAAGCACAGTAAATACAACGGATAGCAAGAAAACAGTGTCCAAGCGTGTAATACAAGGCACAGAACATTCGGACATTAGAAGAAGCTGAACATTATTATTATTATTAAGAATTATTAGGAATGAAAATATTTTATTAAGAGTGAAACATTTGAGCGTTGCAACTAGGTGCATTCTGACCACTCGACTCACAATTTACACAATGTTATTTACGATGATTATAGCAGTTCCAAAATTAGGACACCCCCATTATTCAAACTTCCAGCTAAGAGCATTTCATGTTAATTTACTAAATTATATATGAAATTTGAGGTTGTCGGAGTAGTAACGCCGTGTGAATTTTCAGGTAGATATCAGCATTTCCGAGGAACATACTGTCTCCAACTTCAGGGCTGAAGATGGTGACAGTATGCTTTTTTCAGAAACGTTGGTATCTACCTACAAGTTCACACGCACAACGTCACAACCCAGAACGTCCTGTAATTTGTTTTGACAACGACAAAGGACGTTGCACAGATTGGAGTGTGATCGGAAGGGGTTACGAGTCGGTCATTATTTACTGAAGTGTAGACATGAATGCCGTGAAGACCATTACTTTCAGACAACACCCTCGAACTGGTGTGTGAAGTGCTGGAACAGCTGAGTTGCTTGTAACACTTGCAAGTTTGAAGCATAAAGTCTCTTTATTTCTTCATAATATTTCAGATATCATTTTATTGTCATATTGATATATTTTATTCTAGATACATTTTTGTTAGTCCACATTCTCTGTCTTCAATATTAATGCAGAAATAATATATCAACTTGAGACGATATATGTTGTACACGTAATTTGGTCAAATATTCAAGTTGCTAACAATAACTATCAGTAGTCTGTACCATTAATATCGTTTCGTAAACAATAATCCTTTAACATAAACTGTGATGAGTTAATAAATTGAATCAGACCAATTAACATATCTGCAGTTTCGTGTTGACGTGCAAAGGTCCTACGATTTGATCTCTAATTTGTTCTTTATCTTTTTTGTATAAACACCTGAACAAATATTTATTTTAAAAAAATCTGAACCATTCACTTCTGATGTAAAGTGCAATTGGATTAACAATGATTTTGCAGGCATAAAGAAATTATGATACGACGTAAATGAACAAAATTGTCGACGTTCTTAAGTGCATTTCAAACGAAAATAATTACTAAAATAAATCCTGGGATATAACTGACGATGTATGGTACAGCCATTGACATTATAACCCTTGAACTTCTGTACTTTGTAAGAAGCAAAGCTGCTTGACTTCCTTCCCCAAGGATGTCTTGAACACTCTTGTTTCAACAGACGGGAAGTTAGTACATTGAATCCAGTCATGCAAATAGGAACTCCCAGAATCAGGATCAAGAAATCGATAAATGTAATACACATTTTGCTTTTAAGGTCACCGTTCAACAATGAAATAAACAAGGTTGTCATAACACCCAGAGCAGCTCTCCACGCTCCGATAATATAAAGAATATTCCGAGTGTGTGTGGATATTCTACCTCTTGATGAGTTCTGGAGAGTTCTAGAAAGTGCTGAATATCGCTCTGCGTTGAGACACATAACGGAAAGTTCCGCTGCATGAATCGGGAATCGAAATATTCAGAATACCATCTCAGTTTTTTTACTTGGTGATATAAATGACGTAAAGACTCCTATAATACTCATTATATTTGTAGATTTTATGTTAAAAATCGTAATATTTTGTGGTGTGGGTACCTCTTTCTCTAGTGCTGATATAATTATTAGAGTAAGGTTCAAAACCAGCCCGAAAATGAATATTACAATATGAAGAAACAGAGAAAGAGTTTGTATTGCGCCATTAAATTCTCTATTTACGAGTACCACGTGACTGTTATTCTTATCATGTGTTGTGTCTTAGAAATAGTCTTCATTCTGATGAAGAGTTGTGTTTGTAACAAACATATTATTTTCATTAGCAACTAAGTTTGCAACAAGAATGTGTAAATGTTTAAAGTCTAGCTTTTCGATGCCATATTCAAGCACGACCTTTTCTATAGGCAATGTCATATTTCTTCCGGCAGTGACCAAATGCTGTGTGATTCTGCCCTCTGTTTCTGGAAACCATGTCATGTCCGTCGTACAAGGAAGTCTGACTGTCACATTCACTTTGTAGACGTGAGCTGCTGTCTTACAACCTTCGCAGACACGTAACCCTTATGTCGTTGTTCCTGCGGTGTGTTTTAAAGTGTTGACGTCTTTCAAAGGTAATCTCTTCATCTTTGTTCAGTTTCACAACAGGATGTGGAAGCTTGCCGGAGAAAAACAGTTACAGACATACCTCGTTTTATTGCGCTTCGCAGGTATTGCGTTTTTTTTTACAAATTGAAGTTTTGTGGCATCCCTGCGTCGAGGCGCCATTTTTCCAACAGCGTGTGCTCACTTCGTGTCTCTGTGTCACATTTAGGTATTTCTCGCAATGTTCTCGCATTGTTTTCTTAAACATAATGCTATTACACACTTAATAGACTACAGTATAGTGAAAACATAACTTTTATATGCACTGGAAAACCAAAAAAAATCGTGTGACTCGCTTTATTGCGGTGGTCTGGAACCGAACCCGCAATATCTCCGTGGTGTGATGCAAAGAAAATAATAGTTCACTTTAACCTGAAGTTTAAACATCGTGGGTCTGCAGATTAACCGATAATTTGGAGTAATGTAATATTTCTCGTGAAATAGCTAATACTGATATCAAAACAAATTTCTACGCTGTGCTTCAAAATAATGACTGAATGAACAGAGACTTACAGCCAGTGCTGTTACTCACACGACTGGCCACAATAATGCTGAATGCATAGAAATCCATCTTGTAGACAGAAACGAAGTCTGTTAATGCGAAACAGCGGGTGTTTATGTTTGTGGACACGCTACTCGGGACTCCTTGCTGTGAACAACTGCTGTGACGTTTCAACAGATGAATTTCTTATATTAAACACACATCAGTATGCAATATTCGTATGCTGCTGAGTAGGAGTTTTCATCTTGTTACCTTGTCCCCAGGGTTTATACCACGTAAAAGGAACAGACCTTGTTTTTCAGACACACAAGTTTCCATTTTTCTCCATGCAAATTGTTCTGAATGCAGACATCCACTGTACCTTGGGTTTTTGAAAGACGTATTTGACGCTATGACCGATGAGCTCTGATTAAGGCGAAAATGGGAAGATGAAATTAAAATGGATCTTGAGTCATGTTTCAGGTCGTGGGCTTGATTCATTTTGCTCAGAATATTGTTTAGTGGCGGTCTCTTGTGATCACGGTAATGCACCTTTGAATGTTATGAACGACTGGAAATGTCTTTGACTATTGAGCAACTGCAACCCTTTTCCACGCGGTTAGTGCACGTGTGTGTATTAGTACGCGTTCTTTTCTTAGAGTGCACGAAGTGAACACGTATAACGAATATCCTGTCCGCCTCTACCTTTTACATAAACTACTCAACATGTTTTTGTATTGGGTTTCATACTGTTAATGAGCGAATTTTATTTTATTTTATTTTCCTCCAAATTAAAGCAGAAATTTATCGGTATTCTAAAAAAAGCACTCGACCTACGAGAAATTGACGTATAAAATGAATGCGATGCATATTTAACGAAGTTCAAAGTTATATAAGTTCTGATTGCATATGTATTTTTTGAGTTGTCATGATACTAGTTATATGTAATAGTCTTGCACGAAGTCTTGGATTATGTAAATTTGTAAAGTTCAGGTTTGCATGATTTTACTCGTGATTGCATCTTTCCTCTGTTCTTAATTCACAATCTATGGTTTGGATGTGTCAAACTGTACAATCCGTGAGGTGTTTTAACTGCCCCAGTATCACGTAGTGTTCGACGAATCATAGTTCTCGAAGAACAGAGTCACAAAAGATTAGGCAAATAATTGAAATTTTGTCGGCCACGTCTCTTCTTCAGTATGTCCGGC